AGGGAAATTACCAAAGATGTGATAGGTGATTTTGTCCATTTCATTAAACAAATATCTAAATACATGTATATTAGTATATTTGGTTTTGTATATGCTTGTAGAAATGTTGATCATGAATATGCTGTTTTATAGAATTCAAGCTGTTGGAATTAAATGTAAGCTAGGAAGTTTTTTCAGCCAGTGCTTGTTCATGATAAAAAAAAACACATCCAAATACATGATTTTTTAATTGATTGTGAAGACAGAATTATATATATACTTTCTCTAAAAAAAGGAGAAATGTGTAGTATGCATACCAAAAAGCACAATTAGTGTTTAAAAGATGCTTTCCTTTCTTGAACTGCATGATATAGACATGAATTATGAATTTGTTTCTAACGCATACAGATATTTGTTGGCAATTTTTAATTTGACAGCGATTGCTGTAAATAAACATACTTTTAATATTGTTTTATTTCTTTTATTAAGTTCAAATTATCTCTTTTATGAGTATAGAAAGTATTGTTTGCTATGTGATTTATATGTAGTGAAAACTAATGTTATTGGCTTCAACCACAGATTTGTATGTACCCAGTTTTGTACAAACTGGTGATGCATTTATTACAGTTCTAATGAAATTATGGCGAAGTTTCTGGAATTTATCCTCCCCTTTTAACTATTAAGTGCTAGGTGAAGAGTTTTCTAATGTTTCCAAGCAAAAGATCAGAAATTCCTATCAGGTAACAGAAGTATGCTTTACTGGAATGGCGTTTGTGTGTGTGTGTGTGTGTGTGTGTGTTCGTGCGAATGAGTTAGAATGTGTGCATGCTTCCGTGTATGCGCGTGGGCTTGCTTGTTTGTGTATGTGCTTGCTTGCGTATGAAGGAGAGAGAGAGAGAATGTGTGTGTGTGTGTGTGGTGTGCGTATGTATGTATGTATGTATGTGTGCGTGTGCGTGCGTGCGCGCGTGACGCACGCCTGCGTGTGTTTGTGTGTGTGTGCGTGTGAGAGAGCGAGCAAGCGAGAAAGGGAGTGAGAGTGTGTCCGTGCATTTTTGCGTGTGTGTGTACTTGCGTGCGAGTGAGAAAGCGAAAGAGAGAGAGAGTGTGTGAGTGTAGGACGTGTATAAAACCCAGTCTTTCCTGAACAATGCAATATTAAATGCCGTCTTCAATTCCCTAATGTTTTAAGAAACATTGACGGCTCAGCTAAACAAATATTTAAAAAATGATAACATATGCATTTCCCATGCCATTAGAACGATCAATTGCAAATATGTGAAGAGCCGCGAGAAGGAGAAAAAATCACCACAGAACATTTTCAAACAGCATTTGGATCCACTTTCATTACACATATGTTCCTACATCCCATGATTATATAAAAGCTGATATACAAGTTCATTTGATATTTCTATACTTAAGACATTACTTAAACATCTGTAATTGCCGAAACAAGATACGAAAAAAATGAAATTTGAATTTCGCGCTCTTTCTTGTGACAGTCATCATTTCCAAGGATCTCGAAATTAAAACGTATATTGGGACTTTTTTTTTAATGAAAAAAAGACATTGAAAGGTAATTTGCTAAATGTTAGTACAGGAGAGAATTGTTAGAAGTTTAATTCTTCGAACAGAAATTAAAAACATGTAGTTGTAATATCAAAACACTATTACATGTCAGAACGTGTTAGGTGAATCCACAGGTAGTGTCAAATTTGTCGTTTATTTTGGGTGTTGTATTTTTCAATGACTATGGAGACATTACACGTAGATCATCAATCATATAAGTGTGCTTTAGTAATTAGTGTAAATCCTCGTTCGATGTGAAACCTAGAAACTATTTCGTTTTGTTTACAGTTACCATTCTCAAAAGTGTTTGTAAGGATCATTACCTTTTGTATTTCTCGTTAGATGTAACGACTACACTGCACTTCAGTAAATCGGTATAATCATTATGATGATGTCATGCCAAAGGGGCAGAAAACGGCAGTGTAAGGATATTGTTTAATTAGAAATTGATACTGTCATTGTGCATCCACACAACAGTTTTTATTCAGTTTTATTTGAGATGGCCAACACAGGCTGCTTCTCTTGGCAGTTGTAGTTTGTTTGTTTTTATGTTAACGCCTTGGATCAGGGAGAATGACCGTCATGTCGTGAAAAAGATTTGGTGGAGGGCTGGGGGATGTGAATATGCCATCTTGAGAAAATTCAACCGAAGCCTGGGCGACAGGAAATGACAGCCAGTGACAATCTGCCACATGTACACAGTCCTCTTGAAGGGTTACAACCGAGGCNGATTGCATCCGCGTCCGGCCCCTGTATCCTATCGCAGCCAGCAGTAAACACGTTTCATATCACATCAAATCCGTTCGCCGAGAAGAGCTACCGACCCCACACCTGCGCCGAATCTACTCACGCAGCAGGAAGTGAAACCACGGTTCGAAACCTGTAGTAAAACCTGTTTGTAAAATATGAAAAGGCGATCCAGAAATACTTGCAGGTAGAGCGGCGGACAGGA